AACTAGGTCACAGTAGCATCTAATATAGATCAGGGCTTCCCATGAAACAGGTAATAGAATAATCTAAAAGAGTGTTATAGCCTTCATATACAATAACATGTTTGTATGTGATAAAATCTTTGATTCATAGTTTTCCGGAGAACCAAATAACCTCTACACCATGACCCATATATAAATAAAAAGCCACCTTTATTCATAATGCAACTGTTGATTCAGAGTTACATTGGTATTTTTCGTTACCGAATTCTACTTTGCATTGTTCACAGAGATAATTTACTAGTGGGAAAGTTAAAAAATGTAAGATTGGATTTGTCTTCTCAGAATAAAAGATGTTTTTCAATTCATGCACGCTATTAGTAATGCTTATTTTCAAGCATTCAATATAGTGATACTTTGCCATTCACTACTGCAGTCTGTCAAGGATATTTGGTGATGCTAAATCATTTAGAGTGAAAGCAAATTCAATAGAATCTAATATTTACTTTGAATAAATATGTAAAGGATTTTTTTCTAAAATATTGTATTTTTTATATTTGACTTCATTTATTTATTAAAAAAATATATAATAATTGTAATTATATTAATTTAAATTCTTTACATTTTCATGTATTTTTGTTGTAAAATATCCTTAAGAATTATGTTTGAGGTACGAACAAGACGACATTTTTATTATATCATCACAAACTACTCCAGAGTGAATACCTTAGTCATGTAACTCGCTAGCACCAAATTCATTGATTCAGACAAAAATTCCCATATAAATATTCATAAAAACTGTGTAAAAAAAAAAAAAAGAAAGAAAAAAAGAAAGAAAGAAAAGCAATTGGGATATTGTGGTTCTTCAGGCATAATGAGCATGATGTGAGCACTGAATGGCCCGCTGGGTGTGTATGTGTGTGTCCATGCTCATCAGCCAATAAAAGCCTGTCTGTCAGCCTGACAACATTCCTGTAACACCACATGATTCAGCAAAACTCCACCATTAATACCACCAGAGCTACTTAAACGTCCTGTAAACTTTTTGGTACCGCACACACAGTAGATTGAGTGACAGCTTTCAACTTCAACACTAAATCATCAATGTATTATTAAATTGCTTGCTTAGCGCCATGCTAGTACCAAGAAGCCCAGAGTCTCACTCCAGCTTGAAGTAACATCTGCTGGAAACAGGGGGAATTGGATGGGAGTTTGGCAGAGTTTGATAGGTAGGCTGGATGAGAAAATCTCACTCACTTTGACAGCATAAGCGCTGACTAGCACTGTCTTAATGCTAGCATTATGTTATTCGCCCTATAAGACTGCAGTATAACAATGAGCCAATATAGCCAATTATGCTAACTAATCTGACAACCTAGACATATTTTTGCATTTTACCTTAGTTTCATTCTGAACTTCAGCTTAAAGGGTTAGTTCACCCAAAAATGAAAATTATGTCATTAAAGGTGAACTAAGTAACTTGTTTACCTTAACCGAACAGCTTTGGAGTCATTGTAATGTTTATATTACTGATTTCGTGTTGAATGGTGGTCGTCTCGCACCCCCCTGGTGCCTGTGAGCCGCAAAACCACCCTTGCAACTTTGGGCCGGCGAGCCGCCGGCCTGAGTGTTAGGAAGTATCGTGTGATATCAGGTCTCGCGAGGTTACGAATTGCTTTACGGCAAAAAAACAGATCTGATAAAATTCTGATAAAATGAGCATCAAACAGAAATAACCCGGCGTCGTATACATGTGGTGTTGGGCGCGCGCAGCTCTTAAAGGGGCCATACCTTATTTCCACTCGTTACAGCGTCCATCCTACTGAACAGGCACCGGTGTACCGTGTACAGGGGGAGGGGATCCGGCCGTGAGTGCGAGCCATCTCTGCGTGAGTGCTATTCACGACAGTACATGTGCTCCACAGCGACTCTAGGGGTCGCTGTTTGACAAAAACGGAATTGTTACTGAGTGCTGCTTCAATGACTCACCCTCATGTCGTTCCAAGCCCGTAAGACCTCCGTTCATCTTCGGAACACAGTTTAAGATATTTTAGATTTAGTCCGAGAGTTTTCTGTCCCTCCTTTGGAAATGTATGTACGGTATACTGTCCTTGTCCAGAAAGGTTAGAAAAACATCATCAAAGTAGTCCATGTGACACCAGTGGGTTAGTTAGAATGTTTTGAAGCATCGAAAATACATTTTGGTCCAAAAATAATAAAAACTATGACTCAGCATTGTATTCTCTTCCGGTTCTGTTGTCAAGCCGCGTTCACGAGTCCGCAGTGACGCTGATGACGTAAGACGCTGCTGACGTGTTATCAGTGCACCCGAGCTTCGTTTACAGTCTGAGGGAGACGCACGCTGTAAACAAAACAATCTTCGCAAACATGTCTAAGGATTTCGACACAGAGGAAGACTTGCATTTTTTTGCCCAGCCATATTTATTTGAACCCGAATACACAGACACACCAGATAACACGTCAGCAGCGTCTTACGTCATCAGCGTCACTGCGGACTCGTGAACGCGGCTTGACAACATAACCGGAAGAGAATACAATGCTGAATAAAGTCGTAGTTTTTGTTATTTTTGGACCAAAATGTATTTTCGATGCTTCAAAACATTCTAACTAACCCACTGATGTCACATGGACTACTTTGATGAAGTCTTTATTTCCTTTCTGGTCAAGGAAATATTCCTTTTTGGACAAGGATATATTAGATTCCATTTTCAATGGAATCTAAAATATCTTAAACTGTGTTCCGAAGATGAACGGAGGTCTTACGGGCTTGGAACGACATGAGGGTGAGTCATTAATGACATAAATTTCGTTTTTGGGTGAACTAACCCTTTAATGTTCTCATGTCTGTTTACATTTTACGCTACTGCATCACTATAAAAAAAAAATCGGAATAATCTGAAAACTAGTCAACCATTTCTCAAAACACAAACTCAGAAAAAAGGCTACAGACAAATGAGCAAAACATACAGGCATAACTAAATGAGGTCAGGATAATGTGCATGTATATATAATATACACATAAATGAAATCCATCCAATTTTGTTCTTTCCCAAGCTGCCTTCACCAACGATGCTATTTTTGTCTGAGCCAATGCCACACATCAGACAGAGTGGTTAGTGTTTGTGTGTGTGTGTGTGTGTGTGTGTGTATGGGGTGGTTAAGGGGTGGTGGGGGTTGGTTGGCGACTCATTAAACCTGTAAGATTGCGAAATGGGCAAGGTTTCCTTCTGTTTCCCTCTCCCTCTCTTTTACTCACTGCCTTTCTCTTCCTCAGTGTATAAATGGCTCACTGAGGAAAGGAAACCCTCTGGGGTCATGGAGATTCTAGCCAGACAAATCACATGTTCTCCTGAGGACTCTTTCTCCACCTCAAACCCAAGCTTACCCTCAGCCTGCTCAGGTTGTGATCCTAAATGCGGCACTTTTCTGACAGGAAAGCATCCGAGTAAGGCCATTTTAAATGGTAATTTCTCTACTGAAGCGTTGCAATAATCTAATGTCATCTCTTGTAGTTAGCCAGTTAGTTACCCAAACTAAACCAGGAGCTAAAGGAGAAACAAGAACACAAAGAAGTGAAAAAAAGAAGCAGAAACGCAGTATATTAGTCATTTTGCAAGTGTAACGACACTGTCACCGTCATATCTGCTTTTCTAAGAATGTTGCTATGGTAAGATTAACTTAACTAACAAGCATCGTTAGGTACCTATAAGAGTAATGAGATCATATGCTGGAATCATGTGAGATCACATACAGTATTCATAAGTGTGACAGCTCTCTCTTGAACTCCTGCTGAGATGTCTCACTGCTGATCCAGGTCCAGAACCTCCCACCTGAACTTCTCCTTAGCTATTATTTGACTAGATTTGACTGTTTTCAGATCAGCTGAAAAGGGCAACCGTCAAAACACCCCCAGTCAACAATATCACCCATCATTGCATAAACATTTGCTCAGATGGTTATATGAATAATGCACACATTTTCTCTAGAATTATTCTCCATCACTGATGTAGATAGGCACTGGCTTCTATCATTGTGTGTGAGATTTGCACACCCCACAATCTATGCAAACATTTCATTAATATCATTAAGAAATCTTACAATAAACTAACAAGAAGAATGATTATTATTCATATAAATTATGCTTTAATTATTATTATTTTTGTTAGTTAATTTTAATAATTACATAACATATTAACTAAATAAAATATTAAAACTTTATTTGATAAACATTACTTTAATGTAATTATCTTATTTAAATAATAATAATAATAAAAGTTAATCATTATAAATTACCATAATACTTTAAAATAATTATAATATTTATAATAATAATTGCAATAAAGTTCATTATAAATTATTATAATTTGTTTATACAAATAACAGCCGTGACATCAACAATAGTAATAATAATAAAAGTTTATCATTATAAATTATTATAATAATTTATAATGTAATAATAATAATAATTATTAGATAATAAAGGAAACAGAAAAAATATTAATTCTCCATGATGGAGGTCCAGTGCATACTAAATCCTGTGTCGTGCCACTGGTTGACATTATATAACACCCTGTGCAATATATTCACACCTATGGCTGCACTATCAGTGGCTGTTTAATGAGCCCCAGTTGTACAAGCAACTCTTCTCTGCTCTTTGTTCCACAGGTAAATCAACAACAGCCCCATCCAGCAAACCCTGCCGCAACTCACATTCAACTTCAAATCACTCAACTTTCAGAGTCACACTCCTGAGGTGAAGATGTTTAAGACAGATGTTTCATTTTGCCCCGAAACATGCACAATTAGCCCAAAAAGATGAGTGTTCCAAATCACGATTTGCTTAAAAGTATTACATAAGAATCAACTGTCAGACTAAGGTTAAAAATCTATTTTATGGCCGCTAATTATTGAGTGTCATGCGTATATGTAGTTGGGAACAACCATTAGTCGGTCAGATAGCCATTGCATTGCAGTTTGAAAGGCAAAGAGGTAGCGGAGCTTACTTTGTCAGACAGCTACTCTGCAGCTCTGTGTGTTGGAATGCAAAAGTGATGTCTTCATGAACGCATTAGAACGTCTTCCTCTCTTAAAAACACACGCACACAGACAAACATGCACACTCCTTGTTCATAAACGAACATAGATTATGAGGCCACGACATGCCAGCATGGCTAAACAAGTAGAACAAGAAGTAAACAAAGTGAAACCTACTGAAATGGCGACACTGTCTTTCTCTCTCCCTCCCTCTGTCTCCTCACACACCGTAGGTCTGAAAGTCTGCACCCGTCTTTCTCTGTTTCTCTTTAAAATGCTTTTTCTGTCCCTCAAAGCACACTCTTTCACTTCTCTCGTCTGTTCTCCTGAGCTTTCTTTGTCTGAGCTCGGTATTCCGCCAGCACTTAGAGAGATGGAGGGAGAGAGAGTGGAGGAGCAGGGAACTGCAGCCGCTCTGGAGAGGCAGTAGAAAGAGCGGGAGAGAGAGAGAGAGAGAGAGAGAGAGAGAGAGAGAGAGAGAGAGAGAGAGAGAGAGAGAGAGAGGAAGGGAGGGAGGGAGAGACACAGACAGACAGGGAGGAGGGGAGTGAGAGAGTTGGAGCGTAGGGAGGGAGCTGTGAGCAGAATGTGTGAGGCGGTAGAGAGAGAAGCATGTGAGCCAGTCTCCAGAAGCGACGCGACACTGCAGCAGCAGCGAGTGTGGAGCATGCAGAGCCAGACTTACCCACCTCATCTGACCGACAGACAGACAGCACGGACCCTCAGCTTTGGAGACGCAAAGGCTGCCAGGCTAAAAAACCAAAAAGAAATAGGAGTTGTATGGCAAAATAAACAAACCCAGTCTGCCCGAAGCCAGAGAACAAAGGGCAGGCTGGAAATGGATAACCTTAATCAGTCTCTCCCATATTAATTCAGCTGTAGACAGTCTGTTTCTAGTCACTCTCTGCTCTGCTCTCCCCACAGACTACAGAGTCTACAAAGCCATATGAATGCGCTAGCGTGTGCAGTTGTGTGGGAGTCTGTATTTGATATAGAATATGAATTATGTGCCAGTAAAATGTGCCTCATTGAAAATTAAGCAAACAACGTGGTATACAACGGCCACGTCTGCGTTAAATCCCTGCTGACAATGGCTTCATTTACAAACTCTTTCAATAAAATCTCAACTGATTTAGTTAGGTTCTATTTTTAATCAAAAACCAAGATGCATAAAAAAATTCCAGTGCTTTTCGAAATGTTGAACCCATTTGAAAAGCATTTTAGGACAACTACCATTGTTTTTTGAATAATCTGGAGATCCCCAAGTGCTGAAACACAAACAGACAGCTCTTGGTGCTGAAACAAGGGGGAACACTGGACAGCTCCTGGTGCTGAAATAAAGAACATATTGGACAGCTCTTGGTCCTGAAAAAAATCAGTCCAGTCTTTTCTCTACCCATGCAAGTAAACCCCAGAAAAACAAGGCAGCCTAGTTGCCTCTCAACGGCGTGGCACATATAATGGCAGCTGTCTTGGAAATGCCTCCCTAATCACGTTAATAGGTTTAATCAGTGAATTAGCAGCAGGAAAATGTCAGAGTGGCCAACAGAAAATGGAGAAGCTAATTAATGGAAAGGGAGAGTGTCTAAAATGCCGGTGCTGGGGACAGGCGTGAAGGGTGCTGTTCCTCATGGGCATTGCTCTTGTGGGGCCGCAGTGAAACGCAACCCTGTGGCAATTACGCACACGAGAGCAGACTCCCATTAGACGAAATGCATATGTACTTGGCTGATATCCCAGAACCCATGTCTCTCGCATTCAGTATTCATAAGCAAGGCTAACCATTGTGACTATGAATGCATGACGCCGGCTTTCACTAAAGCGAGGAACATTCATGCGACACGCGTCGTTCAATGTGCACGTGCCATAGTGGCTTTCTTAGAATGGCCTACGCCTTGTCTGCCTGGAAAAACAGAACGATCGATAGACTCCGAACGCAGTCGTGAGCGTACACACAAACTCGCACACACACACACGCACGTTCAAATCACACCAATAACGAGGCTCTCATAGCCGCAGTGCTCGGAGGAGCCTGTCTGGACCCACCGATCCAACAGATCTCGACGTTCTGCAAGAGATGGTGTGGGATTAGAAATCAAATTCTTAATCCTAAACCCGAGAAAATGAAAAACACTGCTCTAGGACCAGCAGAAACAGGCTTTGTGGTGGGAAGTGAGGAGACAGGCGGAAAGAGGCAGGGGGAACGAGAGCAGCCACTGCCATGGAGAGCAAGGGATTTGGGGGTGTGTGTGTGTGTGTGTGGGGGGGGGGGGGGGGTGTCGGGGTGGGTGGAGGGAGGAAAGAGCGGTAATTAAAGGAGAAAGGCAGGGGAGGCTGGGAGGAGAGGAGACTGGAAGAGACATGTACACACACACACACACATACACGCTAAGGGAAAGAGCTGAGGCAGCGAGGGAGAGGAGCGGAGGGGTGCAGACATGTCTTCCCTAGTGAAAGAGACAAATGCATTGTGATAGGATGGGAAGCCTCATAGGAGCTGATTTATTTCCACAGACGCTGTGTAGGGCTGTGACACACACACACACACACACACACACACACAGATACACATGGGCCTACTCGCAGTGACACATCCATAAAAATACATATATGAAGTATGGAAAGCAACACTTGTATAATGAACATAAATTAGCAGAGGCATGTTAAAACATTATATATTTCAAAGATGTAGATCTACGGATTCGTTTTCAGTCACGATTCTTTCTCTTTCCTCTCGTCGTCTCCATCATTAATCTCTCTGTAGGTCTTTGCCTCGCTTTCTCTCTCCCTCTCTTTTTTCGCTGCCAAAATTTGCTGTTGCAGAAGCGACAGAACGCGACCTTCCGTTCAGGCTGCGCCAAACGAGGAGCGCTCATCAGCCATGCAAATGAGTGTGCATTCATTAGCGCTGACAGATGGCCTGCTGGAGAGATGATGATGGAGGAGAGAGGAGGGAGCGTTTCTCACACTCATTTGCTGCAGAGAGGTGGAGAGAAAGGGTAGAGTGTGTCAGAGGTGTGAGGGCTTGGCTGAGGCAGGGTGGTTCAGATCCATTCACCCAACTGCCATCATCAGCTTTGGGTTTGGATGCCATGTGACAGTGACAGGTGCTGGTCTTAGCATTCCATTGTATGTGTGCGTGTTTGGATATGTGTGTGAGTGTCTTCCTATGTCTGCTTCATCCACCATATTGCGTTTTTCTTATGATTATAGCTTGTGTTGGCTCGGTTCTACTGTGAATGGTATTGGAGAAAGCATATGAAGCTTTGTAAACAGGAAGTGAATGTTAGACGGAACAAATTGTTGTCTTCCTTGTGGAAGTATGTAAAGTTTTCTTTTGAGTGTGTGTAGTTCTTTATTTGTGTGCACAGAATACATAAGAAATGCACACCCACACACATATAGATTATATATAAATATACTGTATACATTTATATACACACACACATACAGTTATGTGCATATGTTTAAATTTGTATGCACAGTGACTGAATGTAAATGCAGAGCGATGGATGGACAGACAGATAGATGAAATCATCTATCCATTTATCTATCTATCTATCTATCTATCTATCTATCTATCTATCTATCTATCTATCTATCTATCTATCTATCTATCTATCTATCTATCTATCTATCTATCTATCTATCTATCAGTGTTTCCGCAACCTCTCTGTAGTCAAATGAACTTCCTCTATATGCAGCGAACGGTGATTCCACATGCACAAACACACACACCCCCACTCATTCCTGCACTATTGCCCTGTTTTTGTGCGATTGAACTCCACACATCAATCAGTGGTTTGGTGAAGATTCAGAACAAGGGAGTTGGAAAAGACACCACCTCTGTGTGTGAGAGAGAACGTGTTGTGTGTGTATATTTTTGTGTGCACATGCCTCTGCTACCTCCCCGATCCAGGCATGTTTGAAGGCTATGGCGGTGTGACCTACTTTAACTGCCTGGCTTGAATAATGTATCTCGCAGAGAGAGAGAGAGAGAGAGAGAGAGAGAGAGAGAGAGAGAGAGAGAGAGAGAGAGAGAGAGAGAGAGAGAGAGAGATGGAGAGAGAGATGGAGAGAGAGATGGAGAGAGAGGTGGAGAGAGAGATGGAGAGAGAGAGAAAGAGAGAGATGAGGGGGCTAAGAGGCGTGAGAGAAAGAGAGTGAAATGAGTGCGAGAAAGAGGGAGAAAAGGAGCGCGAAAAAGAGAGCAAAAAAGAGGAGGAGGAAAGCAGAGAAACCCACAGCACGGTTTGTCATTCACACATCTCTGTCGATATGCCTCAGTGTCAACAAACAGTCTCCACCAGCGTGGAGTAAAAAGCAAAGCTGGATAGAGCGAGAAAAAGAGAATGAGGCAGGGAGAGAAAGAAAGGGCGTTAGTGCAGGGTTCAGATATGAGAAGAAAGCCCAGGTCTTTAACAGTCTGCAGTGCAGCCGCTTAACAGGAGAGGAGGGGAGGGGGTCCAGACGGCTCGCAAGCATCCACACAAATGCTGCTTTACACAGCACCTCCTTGTCACCTCTGCTAACATGAGTCCCTCTTTAAGTTCCCTGCTGAAAAGACCAGCATAGACTAGTATGAATTTCAAGGCTGGTTTAGCTGTAGGACAAGGCTTGCGAAACATGTCCGTTCTTTCTGATGAAGATGATTGACTGAGGCACATATTCATCCTAGCCATCTTGGAACCTTATAAGTGATATTTGTTGAATTTTCTACAAAAAGGCAGCAACTTCGCCCTCCTTACAAATAGCATGGGAGGCTTGATGCGCTATTGATCTCAATAGAATCTGGTGTTAGGATGTTGTTAAACCCCATTAAGCTTAATATATCATGTTTGATACGCATAATACTAAAGCCCCTACATGATCAAAACTTTCCTGAAATGTTGTACACAATCTTCTACATGCCTTCTGCTCTCTGATTGATAGTTTACTTTTTTAGCAAGTAAAGGACCTATTCAGGTGTGAAATCTTTAATGATTTTTAAGTAACTTTTATATTGTTAGTGATATTTCAAGATAAACACTAACTGGATTGAAGCAACTTATGTTTACTTAAATATCCATACATCATTTTTCAGAAAAATTGTGTTAAAATTCAAGTATCAAATATATTTTTCCTCCTCGGGTGTGAGCGCCATATTCTCCTACACTATGAGCCATAAAAGCCTGATATAAAAAAATACCATACTCAAAAAAAAAAGAAAAAAAAAAAAGAAAGCCACTCTTTTATCACTTGTGATAGTTGTACATTCAAGCTGTTTAGCAAGATTTTAAAAAAGAAAAGCGTTTTGCATAAAGCTTGGAGAATATATTTAATTTAACCCTAAGCTCTCGAGCCCCACCCTGTGTCTGTCTGCAATGTGTGAAGAAGGTTTAAGCAGCACCATGCAGTCTCATTCAACAGCCATATGTGCTCAAGAGGTGTA